GAAACTGTAAAACTCTGAGTGAAGGGCACTTACAATCGATTTTCTTGTTTCAAAGCAAATAAAGATAATACGTTTGAATACAAATACAAAATTATTGTATTTTAACTATACCACTTGATTCCTTCCATAGGACTAGAAACGATTTTAATATTGTATACTTATGCTGGGAATGGCAAACGCAGATGGCACAATGTCAAAGTAAATTTGCTTTTAATCAAAATTCCAATACTTCATATTATTTCCTCTGTCGTATCAAAATGTTATTAAAAAAACATTTCAATTAAAAAACAATATTTTTTTAAATGAAAACGGAAGGAAATTGTGCACAAAATTGCAAAATAACAACGCACAATTCAATGAACATAAATTAAAGCCACTCAAAATGCAACAAAATACACAAAAAAAAATTGCATTTTGTGTATAAATGCAAATGCAGTAGCTGAATGCAATGCAAATGTCTCACTTTTACGACAGAAAGTCAAGGGTTAAGGAAGGTATAAACTGCAATCACAACAATGACTGCATAAACACGGCAGCAACTGTTGCGCTCCTCACTGTGCCATTCTGTCACAAATTCTAGTACTTTTCGTTGTTGTTATATGTTTTCTTATTTCATTTCATTTTATTTTATTATTTTATTTTATTATTTTATATCTGCTTTAATGGTTAGGAATGCAATTTGCATATACACAAGTTAGCAGTGGAAAATCACAAACACGCTGCAAATACGGTTGACAGCTCCACCTGAAGAAGAAGTGTACAGTGTACACAGTTATAAGGATGCACAAATCCAGCTGGGAGTAGCAATTGCAACACAACATTTGCAACATAGTAGAAATACAAATTTTTATGTTATTTTTTCTATAGAGTTTTTTTTATTTTTTTTTTATTATTATTATTTTATTTTATGCATATAACAACACCCCTGAAGCACCTACAACGATGCTATGCGCATTTCCATTGCATTGTTTGATATCCTTGTTATAAGGATAACACCTGTTGCTATTGTTGGTAGGTACACTCTATATTGTTTTCTTATATTTTTTTTTTTTGTTTTGTTTTTTTAAGTTCTTTTTAAATCTAAAGTCGAGAGTAGTACCAGAGTAGCAAACAAAAATTGTCCTTTTTTCAAAAGGTTCTGTATTTTTTATTCCATTTGCATTTTTAAAATTTATATTTGTTGTGCAAAAATATAGTCAGCAGTCTGACGATAATATCACAATAAACCTGTTTTTTATTTTTTTAATTTACATAATTTAAAAAATAATTTCTAGCACAATACTACACTATTGCTTAGTGAAATGTAACAAAAATAGCATCATTTCAATTTAACCAATTTTCAGTAAAGGGGCTACCATTTAGTAAGTCACTACTCGCAGACATCATGTCCCCTTCAACTGTGTAATATATACAATTTACAATAATTTCAATAGATTAAAGCAGAAAACGAAAAGATCATAGTTTTATTTGTCGTACATATAGTAATTGACTAATGTCAGTCAGTTCACTACTGCAGTGGTATGTATGTACGACTCATTACATTAAATAAATCCGTGTCAATTGTGTTATTCATATGGATGTATTCAGTGATACGACACATCAGTTACTAAAAACACATCAGTTTTATTTATTGATAATGTCATCCCACTAAATTATATAATTTACTTAGCAAATACAAACAAACTTATAATTATTTATGTATAAATTTCGAAAAGCTAGTAAAAATGCACTAAGAATAAAAAAAAGTGATTGAAAGTAATTGAAACTTTATTAAATCAATCGTTAAAATTACAAATTTTTAAATAGTTTTCGAGTATTTTCTAATCTTATGTCAACAAAATTTAACAACATCATTTTATTTTTTCCTGAGTTAAATTCTAACTAATCTTTGCATGACACTTATAATGATATAGTTAGGACGGCGGCCATAAAAGTATCAAACCATCCAAATAATTAATAAAACCTTATAATAACAATTAATTATCCAATTAATTAATAAAACAACTAAAAGACTATAATTTGAATTGTCTAACTGGAGACTTAGGCTTAAAGACTAAATTTAAATAGTTTAGAATCCAAAATAATAGATCTAAACTAATAAAAAATAATCTATAAAATAATTTCTGATATATGAGTGAATAGTGATTCTTGTTTTTAACTTCCCACGAAACAGTTGGTTCTTTCTTCATAACACTTGAGTAACAAAAACATTACTTTCAACCACATAGAAAATAAATGAATTATTTAAAGCTATTTAAATATCTTTCTCCCCACTGTATCGTTTCGACTTTTCAACTAGCAATAATTATACCTCAGTAGAACAATATAAGTAATGTTATTGCATCTATGCAAAGATTCTGGCTTAGCTAATTCTAATCCACTAAGTATTAACCCCCTTGCTCATATATCTCCCCCATAATTGCTGGAATGAAGTTTCTACATTACTGTGAAAATCTTCTCCATTAATTCCTAAGAGGTGGTTGTAGTGGGTCCGAGACTCACATCGTTATACATCATTAAGATATTCGAGATTTCTTCAAGTATACAATCAAACTAATACACAATATATAATTGTTGAACGTGTTATATATATACAGTGGTTATAAATGTCAGAAAAGAAGGCGGCCAATGCATTTCTTAAGTACTTCGCACTCCACTCGCTGACTACTGTATTCCAAACAATTAGAATATAATATATAATATATGAAAGTAGAATTCTGTTGTAGCAAGCGATTGTAATTGAATCGGGAATTGAATATAACGTAATATAAGATAATAACAGTAAAAGTTTTCAGGTCCTATTGTCAACGACTAATATTTAATTGATCCCCTGCGGGTAAGGGTTAGGATATTCCCGATTTAAAACATGCTTATCGTAAGAGTCTATTAAAATCCCTGTGCCATTCTGACACAGTTTAGAGTGTGAAAGCTAGCAAGTAAGTGTCCCCACTTACGTCACCCGACCGCAGGTATAAATCTGGTATCACGGGAGTGAGTTGACTGTAACTTCCACTGTCCTGACTAACTGAGGTTGGTGTGGTTAACTGTGGTTAATATCTAAACTTAAGCGAGAAAAATTATTGTATTTTACTTTCATTCGGCGTGGAGTTGCGTATTTCATCGGGAGCTGTGATCCAAAATAAGCAAAGGTACCAAGTGAGAAGTCATGTCAAACACATAACTTCAATGGGTAGCAGCGGTAATTCCTTGAAATATCCAATGTAGCGTAGCGTCCAATGTTGTTAGGTAGCTTCGCTAAACAACGCTGGATTATATTACTTAATTGTAATTTGTTATAACTTTGACCTCAAGTTCTTTTATAAATGTTCTATTACTTATCTATGCAGGACTCACTTTATTTATTAACAAAAAAAGAGTATAAAGCTTGGTATACGTGATGATATTTACTGAAGAACTAGTTATAGAAGGATTAATTTCATTTTATGTTATAATATAAGAAGAAGCTATGTATAGATATTAAAAGTTATATATACACTTTTAATGGCTTGTTGTGGTGACACATTAAACTTAATTTAATGTATACTAATCGGATATTGAGTATAGCTTTTAATTAAAATTTAAATAAAATGAAATCGATAGCAAAATCGTTAAAGTTACGTTAGGTTACATTATAGTGGTAACCCTGTTTAGCAAGCAATTAAATTAATTTAATATAATAAATAATATATTCACATATTCATTTCAATATTTATTATTTTTTGACCAAACTATTTTAATGAACTGTTTTTGCAGGCAAATTAACCAAATTTTTTGTTGTTAAAAATAAAAATTTAAAGAAAAATATCCACGATTAATTTTACAATAATTTTTATTTCATCAATATTTCGACTTTACTCTAAAGTCATCATAAGGAAACTGAAAATTTTACTATATATACATTTAAGAAACTCATATAAAAACATATTTTTCATATAAAATATTTTTTATATATACACATATATATTATCTATATATATATATATAAATTTTTTTTTTGTTTTTATAAAAAAAATATTTTTAACGTGTTTTTAAAAATCATGCATGATTTTAAGAAATACAAATCATATATTATTAAGTATATATTTTTATTATCATTGTTATAATATTTGTTTCATATATATTTTATTTATATTGGTAACTTACTAATATCAACAATAGACACATTTTCAGTCACAAAATTTAAATTTAAGAATAAAACTTATAGGAAATAAAAGTAATTTCTAAGTATTTGCTTAAATTATATGTGTTACTAAATGTTTTGAGGATGTTTAAAGTCCCGCCGACAAAAAACGTTTCTATCCAAACCATAAAAAAATGATTGTGAAAGATAAATTATAGTTAAAAATTAATATTTCCTACTTTAAAACACATTTTTTATCATCATCACCAACGCCAGCGTGTCATCCTCTCCAAAGTGTTTAGTCACAAAAATTTTAAATTTTATTTAAAACAAATCCAAAGCAATGAAATTGAAAGTTCAACAGAATTAGCTTTAAAACTAAAGAAGATGAAATATAGTACAACGGACATAGCAAAATATAATATAAGTAAATATGTATATTATATTTTTTGTAATCCAAATTCAGTATATAATAAACAATTTAAAAATATTTCAAATAAAAAAAATATATAGAAAAAAATCACAAGTGCCAACGAAATAAGTTTACTTAATTAAAAACCGCATCACAGTCATAAATGTCGAAAACGTTGTGAACTTCCAAAGATACACACTACACAACTGGACATATATTTCCATAATGTCTAAGCACATATAAACATGGAGTATTACATACAATTTCGATACTGGGTTATATTGTCATAACCCCTGCTTTTGAGCACGAACTAAATTCTGATGTATTTAGTTTAATAAAATGATTTATGCTTCAACAGAAATTTAGCCCGCATTAGGGGGGTTCGAAATATTTTTCAAGCGAAAACATGCCATAGTAGTGAAATCAAAGCAAATCTCAATAACATTTTCCACAGAACAGCAATAGTAAGAATTTTGTGGCTACATCAGTTGGAAAAGTGACATCGCGGTTAACGCGTCGAAAATGCGGTTTAACACCGTCGCCTTTCGCAGGCAAAATCTTTACTAAACGCCAACAAAAATTTCAAAATTTTAAGAATTATAAAATTTTGAACTCGAAAATTAATACACGCCGCGTACTCTTAACATCCGATGAAGTTAGTGTTCTTGTGTGTGTGCGTCATAGCCGCGTTGCACGCACACTATCATGCCACCACGCAAGCGGCACAATTGCGTCGCGTTTGGATGCAGGATCATTGCAAGAACGGAATATGCATGAACATCGAAATCGGTCGCAATGATTTCGTGCTCCTTTCGCAAATGCCAATCGCTAACCAAATTATGTTGTCGTTTCTGAATTCGTCGATTTCGAAAATACCGTCATTAATGTTCGAAACGTTTCCCGACTTGCAAGTGCTGCACATGGATAATTGTAGTGTGGACGTTTTGGAATCGCCACAATTCGAAGGTGCCAGCAATTTGAAGAGCTTATCCCTGGCGCACAATCAGCTTCGTGACATACCTAAAAACATATTTCTTGGTGCTGAAAATCTACACAGTCTCACGCTGAACAACAACAAAATACAGAAGGTGCACAATATGAGCTTTCACGCATTAAAAGAGCTGAAAGAACTCTCATTAGCGAATAATCGCTTGGAACATCTACCAACTGGCATATTTGCACCATTGCGTAAACTTTTGGATTTGGATATATCAGGCAACCTGCTGCAAACATTTCCGCGTGGCATATTCGATAAGAACCTAAATTTAACGCAGATAAATTTGGGACGCAATCGATTTGCGGTATTCGAGTCCGAACTATTCAAACTGCAGCACCGCATCACCATGCTGGATTTGTCTGGAAATGTGTTGCAGGAGTTGATATTGAATTTTCCTGAGTTAAGTACTGCTAAAGCGAATAACTGTGACTTACGCAAATTGACTGTTTACGGGTATGTTTCTGAGTTAGAGTTACGGAATAATTCGTTGCGTGAAGTGCCACATCTGCAGCATGCCGCGAATGTCACAAGTTTGGATTTATCACACAATCCACTCGGTGCTATGCGCGGTAATCCTTTACGTCGTTACATTGGCTTAGAACGGTTGAACTTGAGTGCAATTAATATGCATGACGTACCAGAGCAACTGTTTAAAAAACAGACTCAACTAAAGATTTTGGATATATCTGGAAATGCTTTGTACAACATGAAATTCACTATATTCGATAGTCTAAAATCTCTAGAATTCCTATGTTTCCAACAAAACAATTGGAATTGTGATTTTCTGCAATTACTGATGAATTCATATGTAAAACGACGTGATGTTGGCTATATTGAAGATACCATAGAACCGGAAATGGTCGATGATTACATCGATGGCGTGGCATGTTGGTACGAAAATAATAAATCATCCAAAAAGTGCGATAGCGCAACTTCGGATGCAGCTATGGAATTGGCAATTGTAAGAAATGATATGAAATCCTTCGTTGATGTGATGGACAAAAAATTTGTAAAGGTCTATCGCATGCTGGATGAAATTAAGGCACATTTGTAGTAAGAACAAGAAATTAAATATATATATATATATTATACAAATGGATATTTGTGTAGCAAAAATAAATATATAACTTTACAATATGTGCTACAAAAACTAATTATATCATTTGATATCCAGGAAATTATATAATTTACATATATTTAACACATAAGAGCACAATTATATTGACCCGAAATATTAATAAAAGAAATATTTAAATGATAATATAAAAATTATATTATATATTATATATATATTTTATAAATTATATAAAGCTTAATAGAATTATTATTCAAAGTCTAAAAGTATAATATTAATGATAAATCAAATAATGATAAAAATATGTACTACATTTATATATATTAATATATATAAGTAATATTATATATTTATATGTATACATAAGTAATATTTTATATTTATATATATACATAAGTAGTATTTTATATTTACATATATGTATATATATATTATTATATTACAACATAATTTTTATTAATTATATTTAAAATATATAAAGTATCTATATAAATAATTTCAAAATGCAGTTATTAAAAAAATTATATATAAAATTTAAAAATTTATTAATCACATATATGTGTTTTATGTAAAACCCAAATTCAGATAACAAATATAAAATTATATAAAGCAACGCAGTTAAAAACAATTTAATAATTAAGTACATATATTAATAAATATTCAGTGTATTTAGAATATAAAATATATATTTCACGTAAAATTTTTCTAATTAAAAAATTTTATTTGAAATTCAAACAAATATAAATAAAATAAAAATATAAATATATATATACATATAATATATACATACATATATATATACATATATATATAATATATACATATAAACATATATAAATATATATAATTCTAAAATATTTTATATACATTTATATTTAAAAATTGCAAATATATTTTATAATTTTTGTATATGAAAAAATATTGATTAAAATATTTTCAACAATAAATTTAAATATATATTTAACCACTTAAACGAAATCAATTTTATTATAAAAATCAAAAGCAAAAGTAATATAAAGCAATAATTCAAAATTTTATTTCAAATATAAATATATATAACTTTAAAATATATATACTCAAATATAAATATACATATACGTACATATATACAAGAAAAGTATTATATACAAAATATTTACTTATAAAAATTATATATATATATATATAAATATATATTAATATATTAAATATACTAAATAACAAATAATTATTATATTAAAAAAAGAATATATGTTGGAAAAGATTTAAAATAAATGTTAAAAAATAAATAATTAATATTATAGATACACATATACTATATACTATATAATCAATTATAAAAATTATAAAATTTAATTATAAAATATATATTTGTATTTGAAATATTTTAAAATGATAACCATTTCTAGACACGAGAAATTATTCATTAATATTTTGAATTTGCAATATTGATTAATTTATCTATATAGAACCCTATATATCATCTATCAATTTTTCAAAAAATAATAAAAAAAATTGATCAAATTAAATATAATATTCAAAGCAACATTTAGTAAATATTTAACAATATTTCAAATGTTTTTTTAAATTTATTTTTTTTTCAAAATATTTATTTAATATATTAAAGAAATATATTTATAAAATACGTAATATTGGTATCTGTAATGATATCTTAAATTACAATATTTTGAAAATAAATAAATATCTTAAAATCAAATCTGTGAAACACATATATTCTATATCATATAGAATACACTACATAATCAAGTATATAAAATAAAGTGTTATATATAATAATTTTTATACATTACTTGGAAAGCCATGAAACGTTTACCAAATACTATAAATTAATAATAAATTATTTAAAATTTATTATAAATTATTATATCAAATATTTTATTTTAATTTGAAAAACCTTTTTAAATTCAATATTAAATAATATTGCATTCATATTTTTATTATAAAAATTGTTTATTCAAAATTAATAAAAAAGAAAAATAAAACGAAATATTAACTAAATATTGCTAAGTAAAGGTTGAAAATATATTTAAATATTTATTAAAATTAATGAAAGTATAATCATATACACTTAAAATATATTTGCAATTAATGATATTACTAGATATATTCTTTTTAGCTTTTCTTTCAATAAATATTATATAATAATTATAAATAAACAGTTTTATTAAAACTTTATTATAGTTAATTATCAAATTTTATTATATTTTATATAAATATTAACGTATTATGCGTATTATAATTATATAACTATAAATACTTATATACAATATATAATCAATATATATACATATATATACTTATAAAATTTCACCACACATGTCTTATTTTAAGTTCGATATAAGCAACAGACAGACAGATATAAATTAACAACTTAATAACAATAAAGTGGCTCTTTAAAAGCCGTTGATTAAAAAAACTCCTTGTTTTATTGATATATGAGTAATTTCATATAAATGATGTTAAAAATTTTTTATTTTTTTATTTTAAAAGTTATATATCATATCATCAAAGTTAAGACGAAATTTCGAATTTTGAAAAAAAATACTAATCACAGGTAAAAAATAAATAGACAATTTAGTTCACATTTTATTAAAACAATTAAAATTAATTAATAATTTAGTCAAAAACTACATTGATTTTTGTACTATTGTTAGTGGTAATAATTTATGGGTTAGGCTAAGTCTTTAATGCACTGCGACCGTCTTGATCTATTGTGCACCCCTTTGTATTCAGACATTTAGTATCTTAAGGAATCGAACCAAGTCTTTCGGAGGGAGTTTTTGAAGGTCTTCATCCTCAAGTTGGTATGCACCTAAAATTTTTTTTCTGTGGCCTACTGCATCACAGTTGATGATCAGATATTCCATAAACTCTTCTTTTGTACTATTGTTACATTAATGAGATTTTCCTTTTACTTGACTATACCAGAATTCCGTTACATAAAATAAATTTATCCTCCTTCTCTTTGTATTTCACAAGAAAATTTTATAAAAAATTTATCCTATAAATAGGCAATAATATTAAAATGAAATTTTTGAAAATGGTTTCTACAATATTTTTAGCTCTCAGTATGTAATTAAATATTGTAATTTAATATGTATTGAATATTGCATTGTATTATATAATACACTATAAATTATAAACTGTTAGGAAATAAGGGATAAGAGGGATAATATAAAGAAGAGATTATCATTGACTTAAATAGGTCACTTCTTCTGGTGGTTGTTATGGAAATAAGTCAAATTTTAAATACACTCTTGTTATAAGTTTACCACTAATTCTTTTATAATTTTTTAAGAAATTACCTCTTTAATTTAATTGCAATTTTAAGAATTTAAAATTAAAAAAGTTTACAAATAGTAGAAAACCACTGCCAAGATTTTTTTGAAAAAAATGTACTCACAACTGTCCAATCAGTTAAATTGTCCTTCTAAATCTTAATAAATATACATATAACATATACTATTATTGAGTCTTATATCGTTTTGTTGTATAGAGTTTTTATGTACAGGATTTCAAATATAATATATAATCACTTGGCAGATCGAGAAATATGACCATGCCATAAATATAAACTTGTATTACTAATATTATTATGTTGAGCCTTTTCCGAGTTAGTGGATCTGGGTACTTTTACTCTATGATGGCTGGGGGGTTTCTGCAGAGTCCCACCCAACTCAATGACTAATTTGAGTATTAATCATAATCTTCGTGATTATGCAATAATTGATCTAAGATCTGCGTACCGCTCGCGCGGTTAGTGATTACTCTGAGATTAGATAGTGCTAAATAGGGCATCCTGTCGGCTTTTGCATATAGCTCTACTAATATTACAACTACTAATTACTACTATTAATAAATATATCAACTTTGCATATTAAACTTCAATTAAAAACCAAATTTGTAGTCAAATTTTTATGATCCATACTTACAGAAATTTATTTAGGTATCGTAAAATCTTGGTCATTATTTATATATAGAAATAGTCATTATTTCTATACATTTATCTATTAATCGGAAATTTGTACAAATTAAAATTCTCATTAAATGTAATTTTAATTCTTTATATAAATTCACAAAATGATGTTAACATTTGTCGTTGGAAGTTTAATGTTTGAGACATTAATTTTTGATAAGGTTGATATTTGATCGGAAAAATGCCACCAACGTGTTATGAAAATATACTTTGCGTACATAGAATGTTGTTCCATTTTTTTTTTTTGTCTTATGAGCGGAAATAATTTTTTTTTTATATTTTCGTTTTCATATCTCTAGATTCGTTTACTTTCAATACATATATACTTCTAGGGAATTTTCCAATAACTTTATTATTATTCTTATTGTTTATTTTTGCAGCGATCTTATCAATTTTATCTTTATAATCTTTAATATTTTTTTATTCTTATTCTCCAATTATCATAAAAATAATAATTAAATAGATATAAACATTTTATATACCACTAAAGACAGACTAACGAAACGTGGACATGAAGAAATAAAATGAAATTTGACTTCTATTTGTGTGTCAACAAAAAGATCAGATCGTCCAATCTATTTATTCGTATTTATTATTATATGTTTTTGTGTCCTTTTAAGGTTTTTTCTTATTTACGGTCATGTTATACAGACGGTTACATGAAGTATATTCATCGTCACTATAACCATGTTTGAATCGAAATTTTTCTGTCTCTCATTCTCATTTTTTTTATTTACACTAAAAACAACAACAATTTCAAAATTGATCTGATCATGACTCTTTGTATAAAATAGCCTTACTGTTTTGCTATTTTATTATTTTGGTGCTGTTAGCTTGCACATTGATTTGTGAAGTTAATTGAATATATTATAGCTAAATTGATGACATGAGAGTTTAAAATAACATTTTTACTTCATAATTGATGTAAATTTAACTTAGGGGAACAAAATACATAAACAATTATTTATTTATTTTAATATATTTAATATATTTTAATATATGAGTTAATTAATTTTGTAAATAATTTGTACTGGTACTGTTTGTCGTCTTTTATATATGTTTTCCTTTATTAGCCATT